GTCTCGAATTTTTGGGATGTTTCAGCGGTATTTCCAAAAACTGCTTGACCTTCCTTTACATCATATCCAAATACAAAGTGTTATTTATTTTTATTGATTGACTAAAAGACCAACAAAATCGCAACAAACCCCTATTTATAGATATACTAATCTCGCTTTTCGAATCACTGAAGTGGATGCCACTAGTATTAATCATTCCTTGTTTTAACGAGTAACAGTTGAAGGGAGGGTATTATATTATTATTATTATTATTATTATTATAGAGGGTGTTTGGATATCAATATTGTCAACTTCTTAAGCCCTTAATGATTTTGTGTTTTTGTCGACCAAAATTTTCTAATAATTTTATAAAATGCCAAAAAGGAAAATATTTTTGGAAATTTTCAAGTTTTTCAAGGAGAAAATGAAAAATATTTATGTATTTTTGAAGAAATTTTAAGAAATAAAATGCATGCAATTGTAAAATAGAATAGAAATTAAAATCTTTTTCGGATTTTTTTAAAATAGAAAACAGAAACAAACATATTTTTGGAAGATTTTTGATATTTTTGAACAATAAAAGAAAATCTTTTTTGGATTTTTGAAAATAAAAATAAAACTTAATACTAAATATAGAAAAAGAAAATAAATTTGTATTTGGGACAATACGCAATACAAAACACCTCCCTATGCTTAAATATGAGCATCGTCCTAGATGCTTGGAGATACGCAATACAAAACACCTCTAAACTGGATTTTGACCTTTTATGATAGCAATCATCCAACCGGATTTTTTGTTGCACCTGTTCAGTAAGGTGATCAACTTTTTCATCTTTGACAAGGTGGTTGAGTTGATGATCGGTTGGGTATCTTCCTTTTCGGGATGCGAATCCTTTTAAATGGTCCGGTAGATTCATCGTTTTCGGCTCTTGTTGTTGGTCTTCCAGTGGAAGAAGTTTCTCAATGGCAGTGGGTAGTTCACCCTCTCTTTTGTCAACCTCCAGCACCTCCTCTGGCACTTCTTCAATTTCTACTTTTTCCTCAATAACCGCCTCCATTTTAGATTCTTCCTCATCTTCCTCATCTTCATAAAGCACTCTTTGGTCATCAAAATTGCTCTTATCTTTCAAAGGATTGGAACCCACATTATGCCATGGGTCCTCTTCAGTTTGTGATGATAATTTGCCTTGAGTTTCCAATATACTCATAGATTGAGTAAGTTGTGCAAGGTGTTGTTCTAAACTTTTGGGACTAGCTTGGGTTTCTTGTTGGAAGATTTGGGTAGAAGTAGCAATGATTTTCACAATGTCCCTCAAGGACATGCTAAGTGTTTCGTTTTGTTGAGAAGGGTAAGGATATGGTTGTTGGAACTGTAGAATTGGTTGGTTTTGGTCATTTCCCCAAGCTTCGTTTTGGTTTTGGTTTTGGTATGGGTTGTTTTCCCAAGCTTGGTTGTTGTCCCACCAATGATCATATTGAGGCTGATCATAACTCCATTGGTTTGGCCAATAGTAGCTTCCCATTTCTTGCTCTTGTTCCAATCTTCCTTGTAAATATTGACACATGTTGGCATGATGTCCATATAGAGTCCAATAATTACAAGGAAGAGATGTAGGCTGCACACTTTGGTTATTTGCAATCATCATAACTAACTGAGCTAGCTTAGAAAGTTGGTCTTTGGGTACTCGTCTGTAATTCAGCACACCTTTCCACCCGTAGAATGATGGTCAGAATGAGTGGACTATCCCTACATTGGAGGACATGATTCGGGTATGTGTGCTGGATTTTGGCGGGAGTTAGGATACGTATCTCCCTTTGGTGGAGTTTTTGTATAACAACAATTATCATGCCATCATTGATCGACCTCCTTTTAAGATGCTCTATGGGAGGAAATGTCGGACCCCAATTTGTTGGGGCGATGTAGGCCAATAGGTTATAGGTAGTACGGAGGTGGTGCTCCGGACTACCGAGTTGATTCAGCAGGTGTCCTGCATGCTTCAGACCGCGTAGAGTCGACATAAGAGTTATGCTGATAGACGTCGATCAGATATGGGATTTCAGGTTGGGGATATGGTACTCCTGAAGGTATTACCTTGGAAAGGTGTTATCTGGTTCAGGAAGCGGGGCAAGTTGGGCCCCCGGTATATTGGTCCTATCATGGTTATTTCCCGGGTGGGCAGGGTTGCATATCGATTGGATCTACCATAGGAATTGAGTCAGATTCACAGTGCTTTTCACGTATCTCAGCTGTAGAAGTGTTTGGTTGATGATTCCGCAGTGGTTCATTTGGAGGACATTCAGGTGGATGAGCGCCTGAACTACATAGAGAGATTGATTGCTATCCTCGACAGGAAGACGAAGACTCTGCGAAAAAAGATGGTGACCTTAGTGAAGGTGCAATGGAAGCACTGCAAGGGTTCAAAATGGACGTAGGATCCTGAGGACGAGATGAGGGAACATTATCTGGAGTTATTGCCAACAACAGACTTCGAGGACGAAGTCTCGAAGTCTGATTCAAGTGGGGGAGAATTGTAACACCTGGTTTTCAGGTATCTTTCAGTTTGGCCTTGAATTATAAAAACTTTGCATTTTTGGTCCTTATTACGCTAAGCATAACTTGGAGTACGCATGGCGTACTCCCTTTAAGTTGGACGTGTGGTTTTTGTGGTACGTTGGGCGTACCTGGTGTATGCTGGGCGTACTCGCTCAGACCACAAACCCTAATTTTTAGTGTTTGGCCCTATTTAAGCATCATTATGGACCTTGAGGCTCCCCCTCATCATCTCTTATCCCAAGAACTTATCCCACGAAACCCTAGACATCTTTGGTGTGTTCTTGAGCTTCTATTGAAGTTTTGGTGTTCTTTTGTGCATTTGAAGAAGAAGAGACTTGGTGGTGGTGCATTGTTGGAGTTGGAGCTTCAAGATCCAGAGCTATCTTCTTCATTGCAAGCTTCTGGAGGTATAAAGTTCTTACTTTGATGGTTCCTTTGTTAAGATCTCGTTTGTGGGTAGATTTAGGAGCTTTTTGGTCCCATGACCTTGGGTTCTTGGGAGTATGGGGTACTCCAGAGCTTTAGGGTGGCATTTCTTATTAGATCTGAGGTCCTTGAAGTATAAAAATCGAATCTTGGTGGTTATGGTTCAACCATGCGTGAGTTGTTGGCCTTTTTAAGGAGTTTTGGACCTAGGGTTTGGTATTGGGTCCTTTTTGAGTCATGGAAGTTAGTAAAGTTGCCAACTTTACAGATTAAGACCTTATTTAGAAGTAGATCTGAGGTTTGGACGTCAAGGTCTTAAGGGATTAAGCCTTTAGAATGAGAAAAGGATCTCTTGCCAGTACGTTGGGTGTACTTCTGAGTACGCTGCGGGTATTGGGTTTGAGTCCCGTAATTTGATCGTCGAAGAGTACGTCAGACGTACTCTGGTGGTATGCAGGGCGTACTCACCAGTTGGGCTTTTAGGCCTTTGGACTAGTTTGGGCCATTATAAGGCCTTAGGTCTTTATGGATTTGGATTTCTGGGCCTTGGGCCATTTTGGGGTTTTGGGTCGTCATTATTTAGGCCCAGTAAGGGAAGGGTAAAATGGTCTTTTACCCTAGGATTCGGGGATTAAGGATTTAGACTCCCAGTTATGGTTTTTGGCCTAATTGTTAATTTGGTTTCATTTGTTTATGATTAGTGCGGGGATTCTCCGATTCAACAACCCGAGTGTTTATTTGTTTATCAGCGGATCGATGCGAGTTTGTTGACTATATACTGTAGGACATTGTGGTAGTGTGTGCTTGTTGTCTTTGTGACTCTTGTTGTATGCATGTATGCCTGATTACTATATGTATGTGGGGTGAAATAGATCCATATGGTTGAAAAATACCGATTGACTTGAAATAGACTCAGGGGTGAAATAGAACCGGTACAGCCTTGAGCTGACATTTGAGTTGAAATAGACTCAGAGTGAAATAGACCCGGGGGTGAAATAAACCCGGTATAGCCTTGAGTTGACTTGTATGTATGATATGCAGTATTTTGGGGAACTCACTAAGCTTTGTGTTTACGGTTTTCAGTTTATGTTTCAGGTACTTACGGTTCGAAGGGGAGGAGCTTGGGTTGATCGCATTGCACACACCATGTTTTCCGCATGATTGACTCTGACGTATTCTTAGATATTTGATGATGTACTTTGATTTTCTATGACTAGTTTTTATGAACTAGTGTTGGGTGGTTCTTTATTAATATACAAATGAAATTTTTGGTTATAAATTTTGGGAGGTTATATTAAGGAAAAGTATAGTTTAGTTATTTTGGGTTTTTTTTCATAATTCTTTAGTCATTTTGACAGTTTTAGTCTCTCCTCAATTTTTTTAAAGTTTTGCCACAAAACTTTTAATACTTTGCCACTTTTGGTCCCTCCTCACCTTTTTACACTTTGTCACTTTTGGTCCCTCCTCAACTTTTTACCACATTAGTTTGTGGAGTTGGTCCCTCAGCTTCAATATTCTCTACTGCTAACTACAAAGGGTTTAAGAGTTTCCCACTTTTGGTCACTGTCATTTACCAAATGTGACACCTCAAGTTTTTGTCACATGAGTTTGTGGAGTTGCCCATTTTGGTCCCCCACCTTCGATATTCTACTATACAACCTTATTTTTCTCAGATAACAACACATATTTTTAATTACCAATGATAGCAACAAATATTAAATAAAATATTTGTAGCACTATGTAAGAACGTTTTTTTTATTATAGGTAAAAATAAACATTTCAAAGTACAATACCTTAATTTGAAAAAAAAAGTTTCAAAAAAAATAAAAATAAAATAAAATAACATCCCGGGGCGAAGCCCGACTGTTTTTTACTAGTTAGTCTAGAAGTTAAAAATTCATAAACGAAATCTCGGTTGAAGCATAGACATCACCTTTATTACCGTGAAACAATTGTTATACCTCTTTCATATTAACTAAGATGGATAATTTTTTTTAACAAATATGGTGTAATTTATTCAGCAAAACAAAATAACATGTTCTATTATTATAAACAAAAACCAACATCGATAAAAAAAATAAATAACTAAAAACACAAAAGGGCTTAATCTTAGCTAGTTGTATACTTGTATACATGTACTTAGCCTAAATAAAATCCAAAAAAAATATATCAAAACCAACATCACAAAAACTTAGTAAATTATGGCGAATATGACATATCGCAGTCATTTATCGGGTTTAGCCACGGTTTTGCAGATTGGACATTCGTTTTTGTAGAGTAGCCATTGTTTTATGCAATCTACGTGATGGTAATGCCCGCATTCAAGTTTTCCCAAATCTTCATCTCCTTTACACTCCTCCTGAAATTCACAAATTATTTATTTTGACATTTACACATCATTTGTTACACAGGGCATAATAGAACATGACATTATTGTATTAAGTTTGTTATATAACTTTTTTATGTTGTCCAAAAATAATAAAATACAGTATCAAAAATAACCCTAAAAAACTTGTTGAGTTCCATTAGCTCAAATCCAAGTACCATGTAACAATAAGTATTTTGAGATGAACTTACTTGACATATGCTACATTTAGAGTCTTTGACTTTGGAATTAAAGTCAAAGGACTTAAGGAAGGATTTCTTAGGTCTTCTTAAACAGTCGAGTATTTCTTCTTCTTGCAAACCACCACCAACGTACCCGATTCTGTCACTCAATTCCACCAATTCCTGCACAAAAATGCCGAATCAGTTTGATTTTTCATGGAGTCAAAGCTTGAATGAAGGAAATACCTCGTATGACATGATATCTGCGTTGATCCTCCATGCTCCAAACCGATCGCTTCCTTCTAATCTCCCATCCAACAATGGATTAAGTTCCAACATCACAATCTGCAAATTTTGTAGCTTATGTTACTCATCGATTATAACGCTCGTTTTACCAGATCTAGATTGCAACTCGATTAAATGCCATCGTTTACAGTAACAGAGCTTTTAGCATAGTTTTCAGTAATGAAATGAGAATCAAACCTCAGATATTCCCCCAGGAGAACGACGTTGGAGACGAGTATATTGCCTCGAATCAGATACATTTGATCTTATGAAAGCTGTAGCATCGACTTCTGTAGTGCTCCATGGCGGCTGAAGATCCGCCGCTTGCCTTGTGGCACGAGAACGCTATCAACATGGTAATATTTTTGTTATTGTTCATCGTCTCCATGCTTAATCGTGTTTTTTCGATATTATTTATGGACTTCTCACACAAAAATTCGTTCCATTTTCAGTAAAATTTGACCTGTGTTTGACTATGGCGGATTTAAGAAGCTTCGAAAGAACTTTAAGAGCATATGATATGATACCTGTCGGTGATTTCGTCTATGCGCATCAGCACTTGTACTCTGTGCAACATCATATGTAAATCCAATCCCGGGAGGAGTACAGCAAACATCCGGAACAATAACCACCATATTTTCCTGGCGTGATCCACCGTTTCTTCTCTGTTTCTTCTTCCTCCTCCTCCTCCTTCTCGTATTTTCCGGCAGGATTCGCCCTGGAGGATGCACAGCCACCGCCGGTGAGGAACACCGACCACATCCCAGACTCAAAAATCCAAACAGGTTTTTCCTGGGAGGAAGACGTTCCCTGGATTCAGTAACATGAGTTGAATTAGGGGTTGCAGAGTGTGATTTGATTCTTGGTTTCCTGTGTCTTCCATGTTCAGGAGTTACAGTAGTGGCCATTGATTTTAGAGCTGAATGAGGAGAATTTTCATGGATTTGGGTGGAATTGATGCTTTGTGGAAATGACAACTAATTGTGTGGGACTATGGGCAGCTTGCAGGTGCGTTTGTCTTCACCCTTGTTCTGTTTTCTTTGGTGATTTTCTTTGAGGTTTTTGCAATATAAACAAAATACTTATGAGTATTTTCAAGATGCAAATTCAAATCCAACCTGTCCCACTACTATCGAATACCACAAAATCAAGATTTTATGGTAATTCTGTAATACAAAAGTACAATTGGACAGCATAATATTAACATAGTATGCAATCACAGCCTCACACTTGAAGTTTTATTAATATTTCATCAATTTATACATGCAATATTTCATAAGGTATCAAATTTATTGTCGAAATTAAGAGGTATAAATCGGTAAACAAATATTTTTCTACATTGTTTAATAAGTTGATAAAAAAATGACCACAATTGCATAAATATATGGTTAAAATTTTTATGAGTATCTTCAACTTTGATACAATACTAGTATATGATCACTTTTTTACTTGTTTATATCACATTGATTTTGGATATATATATATATATTATATATATATATATAGATATATATAGATATATATATATATATTTTAAGTTTAAGATGTAGTTGTGTTAAACTATATGCTATTTTTTGTTATTAAAAAACTTGGTTGGTATAATTGGATCATGATTAACCTTTTAAAAGAGTTGCTACTTTTGTAACGTCGACTTTTTACTATAGATAACAAAATTTTATTTTCAAATAGTTAATATTTTTTAAAGTTTTCATAAAAAATATATATATTATATTTATTCTTGTTTATTTTAAATGTATATAAAATCTCCTCATATACTTTATCATTTTTAATCGTAGGTCATATATTTGAAAAAAAAATATATTTAGTGGCATTAAGTCATTAACATCTAAATAGCTAAATAAACAATAATATAGTATGTGACGAGAACGTTCCTTTAATCTTTAATGTTTGTGTTTTTGATAACTACCTCATAATAAGATAAATTTTTATAAATATATTTATTTTATTTTGTATACTTAGTTAAATACATTAACTAATCAAAAAAACAATAACAATCTAGTATCTAACTATAACTAGAATATAAATTAAGATGTTAGCCTTTTAATTTATCTTCAACAAATTTTAGAAACATCACTTTTTTTTTGTAGACTGTTAACAAATATAGACCTTGGAATTTATCATATACGAATCATAAAACCAACTTATTTCATTTTATAAAATAGTGATAATACACTCATATGTCGTATTAAAAACCAATGAGTCATGATACATAAGTATTCAGTGATAACAACAGAACAAAATAAGTAGTGTCCGGTTTTTTTAAAATAAAATAACTTAAATATATTAAACGTTTTAGTTTAAATTATTAAGAAACTCTACGTGTACTATATTATAATCAACGTGGGGTAGAAGCGTAGAACTAAAAGTCATTAGAAATCAATAAGTATATTAAATTCAAGAATAATGAATAAGGCATCCAATGTGGCCCAAATAAGGAAATACGCTACAATTCATTCATTCCTAAGATATTTTTATTTTGAAAAAAAATGAATCTTGAGAATAATGAAAAAAAAAAGGTTATAGACTTATTATATATTTTAGATTTTTAAAATTTTGTATCACCTTCAAGTATGAGAAAATAGTCAAATACACAAAATAAATGTAGTAGTGTGAGTTGTATTATGTTAATAAGTTGAGCATATGTTGCATACATCGATCATTTATATATGAGTTGCATTATTTAATTTTATATGTCATATTTATTGTTTAAAATTATTACTAGGTATTGTTATTTTAAGATATTGTTACAAACATGAGGAAACTTTACAAGACTTTTTCATTTGTATTCGGTATTTTGTTAATAGTAGTACTCAGTTTATGGCTTGAGTTGTTTTCGTATCTATGTACTCATGACTCATGAGCATAGTTGATATAGTTGTAGGCCCACATGGTTTGGAAGCACACCCTTTGTTGACATTTGATAAGGTTGGGTTGTTGTTTTAACTTTTAAGAAAAAATTATGTTGGATATACTTCTTTTGAGATTTAGATTTTATATATAGATACATTTGGAGATTTTTTGGAGTTGAAAATAGCTAGTCATTACTTTTCGTAGTTATGTCTTGTTATATCCCTCTTAGACTTTATTAACACTTATTCCATCATATAAATGTTTATTAGTGTGTTTATTATAATCATTAAAGTATAATGTTATTTCCTTTTGGTCATATGAGGGGTGTTTCATATGCATAATCATAAATAACTGATATAACATAAAATTTGTTGTTATAATATTCCTCTTACATCAAAATGGTGCAAAGAAATAAGGTTGGAAATGAGTTTACACAAAAATAATATAAAAAAATGGGATTTGAAATGGAAAGGCCCTTAATATCGATTATTGTTAATAATCGACTACAATATGTACATTATATTTTACTCTATGTAAAAAATTATTGGTTTGATATATTCAAAACCACTAAATATGTACACATGTGGATTCCAAAACCTTCAAATAAACATTCTAGAAAACTTCTAGATTCAAAACCTCTTTTTGTGATTCTAAAAGTTATTTTTTCGTAAAGTTCCAATGTTAATCATGATTCCATATTATTTTTGTTAATTTTAATGGCCAAAATAGTGAACCCAGATCTTAGGTTGGTTAGGTTGGTATGGTTAAAACATGTTTTTAGGCGGTAAAAATATTTGGAGGAGAGCCGATGGAGGGGGCTGCGATGTACACACTACACATTCATTGAAAAAGTTATTATTTACGATTAATACTTAATTCGTTTCAAGAAGTTGTTCGTTGATGACATTAAGTTCCTTACTACTCCGTTTAGTGAAGAGGAGATTTGAAATGCTATTTGGTGTTGCGGTAGTGACAACCTTTAACTTTTTGAAGCATTACTGGGACTTGATTAAAAGTGATATTATTTTGTTCATTAAAGACTTTGAGGCTTCGGGTATTTTGGCGAGAGGTTGTAATTCCTCATTTATTTATTTATTACCGAAAACTAATGATCCGTTAACTTTGAAAGAGTATAGACCTATTAATCTTGTGTTGGATAAGATCATTAACTCGGAGCAATCAGTTTATGTTAGTGGTAGAAGTATCTTGGATGACCCTCTTTTGCTCAATGAAATTGTCTCATGGGCCAAAAAAGTCAAGAAAATGTGTTAATTTTCAAAGTTGATTTTGACAAAGCTTTTGACTCTTTGAGTTGGGAGTTCTTAGATTCAATCATGGAGCAAATGGAGTTTGGGTGGAAATGGCGTAGATGGATTAAAGGATGTCTTTCCTCTAGTAGGGCTTCTGTTTTAGTTAATGGATCTCCCACCAAAGAGTTTGATATTTGTAGAGGTGTGAGGCAAGGTGATCCTCTTGCTCCATTTCTTTTTATTAATTGTCATGGAAGGTCTTCATATTTCTATGGAGGCGGCTTGCGATCTTCATCATTTTCATGGTCTTTCTCTTGGCAACAACGAACCTTCTATTTCTCACCTTATGTATGTTGATGATGTGACTTTTGTAGGGGAACGGTCGGAGATTAATTTTGTGAATCTTAATAGATTACTCTGTTGCTTTTTCATTGCTTCAGGTTTGAAGAAAAATCTTCATAAAAGTAAGGTATATGATATCGGTGTTATAATTTTGAGGTTGACAGACTTGCTAGCATCCTCAAATGTGAGTCCGCTTCTTTTCCTTTCATTTATCTTGGGCTTCCGGTTGGGGCTAACATGAAACTCACCAAAAAATGGAATCCGGTGGTGAAAAATTCAAGAAGAGGTTATCGAATTGGAAGGCGAAAACTTTGTCTTTTGGAGGTCATCTAACTCTTGTGAATTCGGTCTTAAATATATTGCCTCTCTACTATTTTTCGATCTTTAGAGTTCCTAGAAATATTATCCACGTGCTTGATGGTATTAGAAGGAGGTTCCTTTGGGGCGGCGATGATGTAAAGAAGAAAGTCAATTGGGTTGCTTGAGAGTTGGTCACTAAACCTAAAAAGGAGGGTGGTCTTGGTGTTGGTTCTCTCGACTCGGCTAATTTGGCTCTTCTTGTCAAATGGTGGTGGAGATTAAAAAATAGAGGTAATTCCTTTTGGTCTACATGTATTAAGTCTATCCATAAATTAAAACTTATTGATGACAAACCTATCACCAAGAATTCCATTAAAGGTGTGTGGCTAAGTATTTCTCAAATTTATGTTGACTTGCAATATAAAGGGATTTTCCTCTCGGGGTTGTTTAAGAAGGTCGTTGGAAATGGCTGTGGCACTTTTTTCTGGAAATTCATGGTGTAGTGATATTCCCTTGAAAGACTTATTTCCTAATTTGTATGTTTTGGAGACAAGTAAAGACTGTCTTATTCTAGATAAACACGGTTTTGATAGTGAAGCTGGTTCAAGGTGGATTTGGAGCTGGTCCAAACAGCTTCGGAGAGGCAGAGAAGCTGATCAATTTTCGGATTTAATGGCTTTGATTGACAATTTTCAGTTTGTTGGTGGACCGGACAGGTGATATTGGAATGGTGACGGGCCGAGTGATTTCTATGTTAAAGCGCTTAGAGGATTGATTGATAAACAACGTTTCAATGAGGTGAATTCCTTTAAGTGGTTGAATTGGATTCCTTTAAAGATTCACTGTTTTGTTTGAAGATTATTTAAAAACAGGATCTCACTCTTTCATAACCTTTTGAAGCGTGGTATTAATGTCCAATCCTCTTTATGCCCCTTTTGTCGGATTTGTGAGGAGTCTCTCGATCATGTCTTCTTTGATTGTGATGTGGTGAAGAGTATTTGGTTATGGATTGTGGAGTGGGTTGCGGTTTTAAAAAATCCTACTAGTTCATGCTTGGATCTTCTGGAGATGTTGAATTCTAAGGCGATGGACAAAATAATTCAAAAGTTAATGTTGGCGATTAATTATTCCACCTTATGAGTTATTTGGAAAACAAGTAATGATATTGTTTATCGAAATGTTCGGTGAGCTGTAATGCTTCTAGCGGATGACATTTGCATTAACACGTTTAAATGGACTAAATACAGATCCAAGTTAGGTTGTCTTGATTGGTCGATTTGATGTATGTCTCCTATTACGAATG